CCATTCTCGGGGCTAGCAAGTCCCAAGTCCTGAATTGGACTTATGGAGGTTGTGAATGAGACTCCTCCAAGTGGTCGGAGGTGTGGTTAAGTGACTGAAGTAGAATGGAAAATTTAGTCGCTTACACGCAGACGATGCAATTGTTGGAAGGCATCATCACAATCGTTAGCATGTCCAAATGCACGTTTGAAGACGTTCGGAAGAACACTCAAATCCCCATGAGTGGCTGCACTCAAACCATTATACCACTACAATGCCATCCCTTGGAAACACGTGGGAAACTCATGCAAATGTTGATTATCATCCCAAGAATGATATGTGGTAATCATTATGAAGTGATCGAACCAATGGTACACATCATCCCCAGGATTCTCATGAAAGAACTTTGGCCGAATGCAAGGATTGACACCAAGACCAAGAATAGTTGTACCACATGCTGTCAATGCTACCATTAATTAAGTTTGGTTGTTCAATTGCAAATGCATAATATTAAGCAATTGTACCAATTGTTACTCTAAAGTTAAAAAAGGAGATTATTGATTTGCCATGAAGATGAATGAAAAGAAAAGAGCAAAAGAAGAGAAATGACAAAAATCTATAAGGAAAGGGAGATCTAGACAATGAAAAATGCTAGATCTAAACCAAAATCCTAAAAGGAAAAAACAAAAGAAAGGAAATGGAAAAAACTAAATTTAAATATGCAAAAGTTAGATTTAAATTAAAATTTTAAATCCAAGCACTTTTGAGGGACAATCAAAAAGTGCCCTCATCTCCACCAATGTAAGTGCATGAATATAGAAAGGGAATACAAAAAATTGTGCATATCAATTAGCCCAAAAACCCAAGTTTATATACAGGAGCGAATAATCCAAATTGAAATCAATTCAACAATTACTAAAATCCCACTAATATTAATATATAATATCGTAGTTGTACACTTGGCCCTCACAAGGCAAAATTTTCAACGTTCTGAGACTCCACTCCATTCTAAAAATTTTGCTCCAATAGATCTAGCCTCCAACATGGCATGGTGGGCACTGTCACGTCTAGTATTTTAGTATCATCCTCATCCACTTGTTAACCTTTAGCGGACATGTCCTTAGCTTCCTCGAGACAATGCCTGCGTTTTCACTGGCACTGTGAGGTGATTTTATATTTCTTCCTTCCTTGCTTCTAGGGCTTTGTTTCTGGGAGCGAGAGCGAGAGAGGAGGCAAGAGGCGATGCCTGGAGCGCCTGGTGATGTCGCCGAGCTTCCTCCGCGCCTGGCGATCATGCTGTTTAGGAATCGAGTCCTGCTCCCGGGAGCTGTGGTGCGCATCCGATGCACGTCGCCGACCAAGTAAGCGCTTCTTAGGCCATCGCGTAGAATTTGGGAGCTAAAATGCGGGCGGTTTGATCGTTTTATTCCCAGCGTTAGGCTGGTCGAGCAGGAGCTGTGGCAGAAGGAAGACAGGGGATTGATTGGAGTTTTGCCTGTCAGGGATTTGCAGCAGTCCGATCCGGCGTCTCCGCCTCCGCCTCCGCCGCCACAACAGCAGCAGCCTCCCCCGACTCAAGGCAAGTAAAATGCCAAGAACTGTTTTGGGAGTTACCTGTGTGTTGATTGTATCTCCAGGCGATCGAGGTGGAACTGCGCTTCCAGATTTCCAGCAGTGCCTGGGAAAGCAAAATCAAGAGCTCGTGCAATGGCATCCCCGGTAAAAATTCCAGATGTTTCCTGATGGGTCACGTAAGAATTTTTGTAGGGGTGTAGCAGCCCGAGCTTTGCATCTCTCTCGTGGCATGGAAAAACCAAGTGGTCGGGTTACGTACACCGTCGTTTTAGAAGGCTGGTGTAGGTTCAGTCTCAAGGACATGAATGCTCGGGGATAATACAACACTGCTCGCATTGGTCAGCTCGATATGACAAAAGCAGGTAGCTGATGAGGCGCAGCTGTTTTACTGCTTTGGTTTTTTTCTTGTAGAGATGGAGCAGGCGGAAAAAGATCCAGAGGTGCAACTTCTGGGACGACAGTTCAAAGTTGTTGCTAGCGAATTGATCTCTGCTTTGGAGCAGGTATTCTATCGGTACATGTTCTCGAGTTGCTGATTGTTTGACGTCGTAGAAGCAAAGAACTGTGGGCCGCACGAAAATATTACTCGAGACAACCTCTGCCCACAGGCTTGCGGACATCTTTGTTGCAAATTTTGAGAACAACTTTGAAGACCGGCTAGCTATGCTAGACGGCGTCGACTTAAAACAGCGACTTGTCAAAGCGACTGAAATCATAACGCGCCATCTTCAGGTTCGTGCTGACTTTCGAGTTAAGCATCCAATTTAAACTCGTGTACTGTCTCTAGACAATCAAGGTAGCCGAAAAGATATCCCAGAAAGTGGAAGGAAATCTCTCGAAGTCTCAAAAAGAGTTTCTTTTACGTCAACAGGTACTGTATTTCTTATGATCCGCAAGTTCGCTTTGTCCCTCATGCCGCTTTACAGATGAAAGCGATCAAAGAGGAGCTCGGTGATAACGATGAGGACGAAGATGATGTGGTTGCTTTGGAGAAAAAGATGCAGAATGTGGGAATGCCGGCAAACGTATGGAAGCACACACAGAGAGAGCTGAGGTAAGATATAATTGTGTGTCTATTTTCAGCTGAAATCTTGCTGCTTGCCATTTCATAGGAGGTTGAGGAAAATGCAGCCTCAACAGCCAGGTTATGGAAGCTCAAGAGCTTATTTGGAACTCCTTGCTGAATTATTATGGCAGATAAGTAGCGAAGAACGTGAACTAGATCTTGTTGCAGCAAAGGAACGGTTGGATAGCGAGCATTATGGGCTGGGAAAAGTCAAGAAGCGGATTATTGAGTATTTGGCTGTACGAAAAGTATGTAAGCTTTCTTCAATCCAATCTTCTTTCCTTTCTAACTAATATTTTTTACAGTTAAAACCCGACGCGAGGGGCCCTGTCCTCTGCTTCGTAGGTCCTCCGGGTGTAGGAAAAACATCCTTGGCGTCTTCAATTGCTGGAGCTTTGGGAAGGCTTTTTATCCGCATTTCATTGGGCGGAGTGAAGGATGAAGCAGACATACGAGGTCATCGTAGAACATATATAGGAAGCATGCCGGGTCGACTGATCGAAGGCATTAAGGTATGGATTGTTTAAGTTTTTTATTCCTGATGTTTTCATCGTATTGCCAGCGAGTGGGAGTCAACAATCCGGTCATGCTTCTGGACGAGATTGATAAAACAGGTACGGATGTCCGTGGTGATCCGGCATCTGCTTTACTGGAGGTCTTAGATCCGGAGCAGAATAGGACGTTCAATGATCAGTACGTATAGTACCTTCGCTTTGGTCATGCTTTTAACTTGTTTCTTTGCAGTTACCTCACCACCTAAGTTTGATGGCAAAGAAGCGGCTGAAAGAGTGTCCACTCCCGGTGTGGCCGTGGGCCTTGTCTGGACGGCCGTTGGTGGTAAAGTTCATTTTGTCGAGGCCACGGCCATGACAGAGAAGGGAGGGAAGGCTGGGAGATGTTAAAGAATCTGCTCAGATTGCTCTCACATGGGTATGTTTACAAAAAACTTTCGCTTGTATTCAATTGTTGAAACAGGTGAGAGCACGAGCTGCCGAGTTGAAGCTTGCAACTGGTGCGGAAAGAAGTTTAATGGATAGTCGAGATATTCATATCCACTTTCCAGCAGGTGCTGTGCCGAAGGACGGGCCCTCCGCCGGTGTTACGCTTGTTACGGCCTTGGTGTCTTTCCTAGGGAAGAGATGCGTGCGTGCTGACACCGCAATGACTGGTGAAATGACACTACGTGGTCTCGTGTTACCAGTAGGAGGAGTGAAGGATAAGGTAAGCTTTCAGTAACTAACGAGTGTTTCCTCGCAGATATTAGCTGCTCATAGGTTCGGCATCAAACGTGTGATACTTGGAGCCGGGAGTTCCTCCAAACGCAGGAGCCAGTGGAGCCCGTGAGTATCCCGTTCCAATATGCCCGACTGAGGGTCCTCCGTAAACCGTCGAACCAGTGGTACGTTCCCACAGTATACGTCCACTCTCTGCGTCCAGTGCGAGAACATGACCATCCTTGTCGAATGATCCGCAGAAGACCACACCGTTGGCGACAGTCACAGGCCCGTATGCTCGCGCACTGTGTGGATTCGCAGTGGACCATTCTATTCTTCCAGTAGCGGCTTCCATGGCCACCCAGCCACCAGCGGTGGTGCTTTCTCCGGAAGGAACGTGCTGGAACGTAGCACGGTCAGAGTTTGCGATGTTGGTGTATACTCGATGGTTGTCAGTGGCGGCTCCCCAGATCGCTCCACCTACAGAGCCACCAGGTCCGGCAGTCTTCACAAAACAGGGAAAACAAACGCAAGGTGACCAAGAAGAACAGGCTAGATATCAACAGGAGCTTGAGTTACCGTTTCCCAGACAAGGCTGCCGTCGTCTCGATCGTGAGCCCAGACAATGCCGCTCTTCTGACCGGTGACGACGATATCTTGAAACTTGTTCTTGGAGTAGCGGCTTGGGATCGTGAGCAACATCGGTGACTCTCCAAAGTCGTAGTCCAGCCCAGGCTCAGGCGCTGGTGGTGGATTTGTGTCACAAGCAAGCCTCTATACGTCGTTTCCTCCGAGCCTGTTACACCAGAGTATCTCACCGTCGGCCATACAACAGCGTCGTCGCAGACGCTGGGAGGATAGCAGTCGCTCGAGTTGGCGTTTCTGTTGAGGCAGTCCTGGACGTCGCAGAGGTTCCCAGTGCCAATGAAGACGAGTCCTCACTGGGGATCGACGGAAGGACTGCTTCCCCAAACTGTAACGCCGTAGAACCGGAATTTTCAGGAGCCATGTAAGTTCTCCATATTCGTTTTCCATTTTTGAGGTCTAGTTTCTGAAAGCTTCCCTGGAATGTGCAGCAGGTTGCCTCCACAAGCTCTTGGCGCGAAGAGATACCAACGTAGAAAGCTCTGCCAGAATTATAGGTACTCAAGAGCAGAGAAAAAGAAAAGAAAGGAAGTTTGCTTACCCGTCGTATGCTGTTCCTGACATGGTGATCCTTGCCCGGGCCGTTTCATCCAGATCTTCCGACATCCACACCAGTCTTCCACTCTTACGTTCTAAAGCAACAACTCTAGCGGAACCGAGCAAACCATATAGCAAGAGGTCCTCGGTCACAGCAGGTGTCGTCCGCGACAAAGTGGCAACTCGCGTGATTTCTGTCAAGTTGACACGCCAGAGAAGTTGTCCTTGGATGGAAACTGCGAAGACGAGCCCGTTCCACGAATGGAAATAGACAACGCAGTCGCAAATCGCCGGTGTGGCTGAGATGTCTGCGCCAGCGTCAAAGTTCCACCTTTCGCTTAACTGAGGCGCGTGCCCGACACTGATCAAGTGCTCATCCTCTGCAAAGCGACGATTCTTGAGGTCTCCTCCGTGGCTGATCCATTCGCCCGTCTGGAAAAAAAAAAAGTCAAGGCAAGCTTATTTTCCTTTGTTTTTCTCTTTGTTGGACTACCTGACAGTTGGATTCCACCTGCAGCAAAGATTGCGCCAAGAATACCAAAGAGTTCTTCATGGAGGGGGACTTGCGACTTTGCTCGAGAAAGAAATCTCAAGGTATGCTTTTCTAATATTTCTCTTTCGCGTGCTGGGTTTAGACAAAGACTTTTTTTCAGGCCGTGCAACACCCTGTTTGCAACACAAAGACTTTCAAAGAGCACCACACAGAGCACTCTCGGCCTTCAAGTGCGGTAACTTCGTGATGCTGGTAGGCAATGGATTGATCCTTCCAGTGTTCTGCTCGTTCGTGCTTGGCATCGTTCCAGTCTCGATCGTCCTCTTGTACTGCTAGTGCTAGCTGGGCGTAGCTTGCATTTTCCAAGTCTCAAAAGTAGAATCTTTTGCATTCTCCCTTTTGCTCATGAAACATATTTTAAATGTGTTTTTTAATAATTAATATTTTTCATAGTTATCTCTCAGAGGCCCTGGATGGAGACCATGCCAGCGTGAAACTTTCTTTCGTGGATATCTTCTTGGTCTTTTCTTGCAAAGACTGGTAGCAATGGCGGTGGGCGATCACCAAATGCGCGATAACTACATGTAACCATGACACCTCAAACAGCTCGTGGAATCTTGAAAATTCGACATGCAAGCGTGCTTCCAACCAGGATTTTTCCTCTTGGATTTCAAAACTTTACATGACCGACCAAAACTTTACATGATCGAGCTCAAAAACTTCACATGATCGAGCACGCGGAATTCGGGTTCTCTGCGCTAAACATTGTGGTGATGCTGTCGTCGCGTACGGGCGGGCGAAAGCGCTGCTCGTATCCATAGTCATGATCATAGAGCTGCTCCTCGTACAGCGTCGCCATTGGCGTGTAGATGGCGACCTTGGGATCGTAGAGATGGGCCGGCCAAAGCTCCACGGGCTTGCCCGCCCTGCGCAGCCGCTTGATGATGCGCTTGGGGTCTGCAGTGCCCGTGATCGTCACCTTCTGAAGCTGCCGATCGATGTCGATGCTGTCGATCCCCGGCATGAAGAGCGCTCGCTTCACCAATCGCTCGCAGCGGTCAGAGTGCATCGGTACTCGCAGCTCGATAAGCTGGAAAGGAGCAGAAGAGAGAACGTCAGATTCTTAGCGATTCTTACAAGACCAAGAGTTTCACGGAACGTACCCCCATGTATTACAACTAGAGCTAGACGATCGGTTCCTCGCGTTTCAGGACAAAAGTGCTGCAATTTAGAAGAAGAAACGCTGCGATAATCCTTGATTCTGGGGGGGACGAGGAGCTAAACAACTATGATCCTTGACGTGAAAGCACTGGAAATGCTTTTGGATCTATGGAAAGAACTCTCCACTCATGAATTCCCAGGCAAGAAATATGCTCTGTTGTGGAGCTCCGTGTTGAGATTATAAAGACAGACACTGGCAACTGGCGGTTCCCCGACAGACAGCTGCCGGTTTGTAGGCGGCACGTAGGCAATTTCGAAGCACCCAAAGTCTTTGGAGGTTTGTGGCGCAACACTGTTAAAGATATGAAAATTGTGGTCTGGAATCTCACAACCAAGGCTCAAAAAAAAAAAAAAAAAAGAAAAAAAGAAAGAAGAAGATTCTTTTCCAAAGCCTATTAACATTTAACTTATTGTGATGACAATGCCTTAGATCTTTTGGACTAGCAGCTGGATGCCAGTGAAGGACTGGATCACGATTTGCACCGTGGGGTTGTGCCGGTAGTTTGGAGATAGCCGGAAGGAGAAATTTTGCAGCAGCATTGCGAGGACGACCTTGGCCTCCATCACTGCGAGTCCCTGCCCAATACACACTCGGGGGCCGAAGCTAAAACCAAGGAAGGCGTTTGGATGCTTGCATGCCTTCGTCGTCCCATTCGCAAAGCGCTCCGGCCTAAACTCGTTCGCGTCCGGTCCCCACAGCTCCGGGTCGTGCTGGAGCGACAGGATGGGAATGGTGATCCCCGTCCCTCGAGGAAGCTTGATTCCATTGCTGAGCACTGTGTCGTGGGAGCTCGCTCTGTTCATCTCCCCGGCAGCGGGGTAAAGCCTGAGAGTCTCAAGGATTATCATACCAACCTGGAAGAAATGTGACATTCTTGGGAACTGGAAAGAAGAAAAAAAAGAACTTGAGAGCTTACCACTTTGAGCTTGCTCAGAGTTTCTCCATCGTCCACTCCATTGGGAAAGTGTTGCTGGACCTCGGCTCTGGCTTTCTCTTGCCAGTCCGGGTGTGTTGCGAGCAATAGGAGCGCCCAGGCCAGTAATGAGGAACTCGTTTCGTGGCCAGCGAGGTAGAAAGTTTTGCATTCGTCCACTATAGCTTGCTCGGGAAACTTCACAGACTTACCGCCCGTTTCACCTTCCTCGAGGATCAAGCCCAGCAAGTCGCTTCCATATGGATGAGACGATCTCTCTCCCAGCTTAGCAGCGGCGATTCTTCGCTCTCGGATCAATGACAACAGAGTGCCATCGATTTCTCTGCGTAGCTTCCATATCTGGAAGTTTAGCTTTGTAGGAAGGTACCTGTGAGAGCTGACTGCTATCGATTAAACACTCAAAGAATGGTTTTGTACCTGAAGAATGGTAGCCACGAGTTGTGGAAACATCTCACCAGCAGCACTCCCAGCAGAGTTAATCCTTGGAAAACTCGCTCGCCTTTCTCGTAGTTGCTACCAAACGAGGTGTGAGATATGACATCAGCCGCCAGCCTTTTGAGGTCTTGTTGGACTTCCACCTCGGTTTCTAGTCCTTTGGCATGCCCCACGCGCCTGCTCCACTTCTCCACCAGCTTTTCAGTACAATTTGTCATGGAAGAAAGCATTGCCTGGAAGGAAGATAATAAAAAAAGTGAAAGAATCGAAGTTAGAAAAGACCACCTTGAGCCTCTGCGTGTGAAAGGCAGGAGAGAGGACGCTTCTGTGGTGCGACCATTTATTTCCATTCAATCCAACGAGACCGGCGCCGATGAAGTCCAGCACAAACTCGAGCTGCTGCTCCGATTTTTCGAATTTGTCGAACTGCTTGGAGAGAATCTCTCGGATGGAGTCGGGGTCGAAGACTACAACCCTCGGTTCGCTCAGCCACCGTATGAGATACGGTTTTCCTGCGCGAGAAAAAACTCAGTGAGCAAGCAAGCAAGCAAGCAAGCACGAGAGAGAGGGGGAACAAAGAAACTTACCGTATAACTTGGACCAAGCAGCAACGTCGGGGCTCACATGAGCAACGATGTCGTGACTTATTCCATCCATGCCTTTGTTCCTCGCGGCTTCTCTCCTGAATAATATCTCCACGACGTTTCCAGCCAGAAAGATTGGAGGCGGTCCTTTGAGCCCTTGGCCGCGGAGAGCCGCTTCCAACTTCCTCATGTGCCACCATTTTAGCCCGCTTCGACAAATTCTCTCCAGGAACACGCAGATAGCGAGCGCCAGAGCCAAACTTCCCCACATTTTTTCCTTCCCTCCTCAGCTCAGCTGTCCGCCACTCGTGGTATATGGGGGTAGAAAAGAGTAAAAAACTCGTCAGCGATGGACGATTTCCCCGGTGCTGTCGTCTTGCCCCATTTGTTTTTTAGTCTTGTGCCTCGCCGCCAATGGAATCCGGCTGTTGGAAAGCAGCACGAATCCCGCTCCAGAGCTTGGATCAGAATCAAAAACCAGTTTTGCTGCTCGGGCCCCATGGAAGCCGTCACTGTGGCTCCGACTAGCGGCCAAGAGAGTAATCCAATCGATGGAATCAGCAGCAAATGGCATGTTGGCCAGCAGCTCGTATGCATGCTCCAAGTATCCTCCTCGGCCCAGGAGATCGACCATGCAGCAGTAGTGCTGTTTCTTAGCTCGGATCCCATAGTCGCTCTCCATGGACGTGAAGTAGCATCGGCCGTCGTAAACTCGAGCTCCGGAGCTACACGAGATGAGGATCGAGACGAAGGATATGTCGTCCGGCGTGTAGAGCGCTCTCATATAATCAAAAGTTGATCTTGCTTGGTGGGAGTGGCCGTTTAGAGAGTACGCCGCGAGCATGGCACCGCAAGATATCCGGTTCTGCTCCGGCTGCCGAGTGAAAATCCTCTCGGCTTGTGTCAAGCGTCCGTTGCGAGCGTAGGCGCCGAGAATGCAAGTCCAGGAGATTTCATCGCGGTGTGGAAGCCCAGAGTAGAACAGGCACTCGGCTTCCTCAAGCTGAGCAGCCATGGAATACGCGGCGATCATCGTGGTCGACGAAACCATGTCGTGCTGCGGCATCCGGTCGAACAGATCCTTGGCCGAGTTGAGATGGCTCTTCACGGCATAGGCAGCGAGCAGAGAGTTCCATGAGACCAAATCCTTGCATGGAAGCTCGTCAAAAACTTGCTTTGCATTCTCCACGCTTCCGGCTTGCGCATAAGAAGCCAAGAGAGCGTTGCATTGCACCAAGTTTACCTCCGGCAACTTTGCAAACATCTCCTTGGCGTTTTCCAAGAGGCCATTTTGGGTGTAGCCCGTGAGCATGGCATTCACGCTCACCACATTCTTCTCGGGCATCCGATCAAACAAGTCCTTCGCTCTGGCCATATCCCCGTGCTGAGCAAACGCCGCCAGCATCGAGTTCCAAGATACGAGGTTCCACTGTGGTATCTCGTCAAACATGTCTTTGGCCTCGGCCAGCTTCCCGTCCCGAGCAAGCGCGGCCAGCATCGAGTTCCACAAGACCGTGTTGGCCTCGTAGCTCGCCGAAGCGCTGTCAAAGAAGCTCTTTGCCCGTCCAAAGTGGCCGTTTTGGGCGTAGGCGACGAGCATTGAGTTCAAGGACACAAGATTGTGCTCGGGCATGCGCTCAAACGTCCGCTTTGCTTGCTCCATATGCCCGTTTTGGGCATACGCCGCGAGCAAAGCGTTCCAAGACACAAGGTTCCGCTGTGGCATTTCTCGGAAACATTTTTCAGCCTCTTCAGTGTTTCCCTCTTGCGAGTAAGAAGCTAAAAGTGATGTCCAGCAGAACAAATCGTGCTCAGGCATAGCATCAAACACCGTAAACGCTTCCGCAAGATGCCCATTCTGGGCATATGCTACAAGAAGAGCATGCCAAGCTACCAAGTCCAACATGGGAATCTGATCCAACAGCGCTTTAGTAAGACCCAAATTCCTGACTTTCGAGCTTGCAATCACCATGCTCGTCCACGAAACCAAGTTGGCCTCCGGCATCCGCGAGAAGAGATCGCTGGTGAGCTCGAGATCCCCGTTTCGAGCGGCCGCCGATAGCAGCGTGTTCCACGCGAGTACACTATGCTGCGGCATTCGATCCAGCAGCAGCGCCATAGCTTCTCTGATAAACCCATTGTCGCAGTAGGCGGCGAGCATCAGGATCCAGGAAAAGATGTCCTTGCGCTGGATGCTGTGGAAGGCCGCAAGCGCCAGATCCACGCGGCCGTGCCGCCCGTGCATGGCGATGAGCTTGTTGAGGACAAAGAGATCGCGGCCATGGTGCGATCGCGCCAGCCGCTCGACGTCGCGCGCTTGGGACGGGCTCGCACAGCTCCGGATGAGAGCCAAGCACGCATCGCGCTCCATCACGCCATGTGGCAGGCTCTCTACGTGACACGTCAGACCCCAAAAACTCTAACTATTGCCAAGTCATTACTAACCGATGTGATAGTTTATCATTGAAAAGTAATAAGAAGATGTTTGCCGGGCATTCCATTCCATACGTTGCTCTCACGTCGACTGACAACTTTCCGCTTTCCTTCAAAGAAATCAAGACAGCTTTTACAGAAAGTTGTTTGAAGCGCTTCATGACGACAAAGACACAACACAATCCCAGATTTTCAAGGAATCCCTCCTTGATCTTCTTATATAGACAACTTTTTTCTGTCCTTTCACCACGAGTCGAAATATTGCAGCGAAAACTTCGAAAGATGTATCATACTACACGAATCACGCTTTCAGCGCATTTCCCAGGACCACATACGCTGCTCCGGCATTGACACTTTCCACTGCTCGAAAGCTCTTTTCCTTGAATGAATCAGCATCCGGGCTTCTGCAGGAAGCTCCCAGCAGGCTCATCCATCCCTCCGAGTTGGGCTCGTATGGCATCGTCTCAATGAGCTCCTGCGCCATGCCAAAGTAGCCACCCCTCGCCAAGAGATCAACCATGCAACTGTAGTGCTGTATTCCCGGGCAAATGTTGTAGTCCTGAATCATCGACTGGAAGTAACACCGTCCAGAGTAAACGTCTCCCTCATGGCTGCACGAGATTATCGCCGACGTAAAAGAAGACTCATCGCGAAGAACGGTCAGTGCCATCGAGGCAAAGAGATTCTCAAAGATGCCACGCGATTCCCCGTTGCTCCAGCACCAGGCGAGCACCGCGCTCCATTCGGCAACACCCAAGAAACTGTAAGGAATGCGCTCAAAGAGACAAAGAGCGTTTCTCATGTACCCATTCCGGGCATAAGCGGCAAGCATCGCATTCCATGAAATGGAGCTTCTATGAGGCATTGTATAAAATATTCTCTGAGCATCTTCAATCTCTCCCACGCAAGCGTAAGAGCTTAGCATGCACGTCCACGAAATAGAATCTCTCTCAGGCATTCGATCGAATGTGCTCTTTGTTACTTCTAGATCTCCCATCTGGGCATATGCAGCAAGCACTGCATTCCAAGAGACCAAATCAATCGCTACCATAGAATCAAAAAAGTTTTTGGCAATCGACGGCTCCCCGGCCTGCACAAAACCTGCTAGCATTGCATTGCACAGGACAAGATTCCATTCCGGAATCTGGTAGAAGATCTGCTGTGCTTTCTGCAGATTCCCGTTCCTGGAATGGACCGCCAGGATCGAGCTCCAGGAGTACGAATCGTGGCAAGGCATCGAATGGAAGAGCTCGGCGGCTTCATGCCCGTTCACCATAGATCCAAGAACAACGTTCCACGAGATTAAATCCCGCCACGGCATTCGATCAAACAGCTCCCGCAATTCGCAGAGATTCCCCGCCTGGGCATTTGCATTAAGAAGCGCATTCCAGGAAACCAGATCGTGCTGAGGCATTCGATCAAAGATCTCTTTCGCAACTCGAGAGTTGTTATCAGCTGCGATCAGGATCGAGGTCCAGGACATCAAATTCCTCTCTGGCATCGCCTCGAATAAGCGCAGAGCGGATATAAAGTCCCGGTTTTGTGCATACATGTCAAGCAGCAAGTTCCACGAGACCAAGTTCCACTCGGGGAGTTTTTCAAAGAATTCTTGTGCAAATCCAACGTCTTCTCCTGCAAATGCTGCGAGCATGCTGTTCCAGGCTACAAGATCTCGCTGTGGCATCTCTTCAAAGATATGATGAGCTCTAGGAAAGTTCCCCACTCTGGCAAATGCTGCGATCATTGAAGTACAACACACAATATCCTTGTCAGGCATGTCGGAGAAAACTTCCTCGGCAGCACAAAGATCATCGTTGTCAAGAAACGCGACCAGAATCAACGAAAACGACACCATGTCCCTCTGCGGCATCTGATCATACAGCGTTTTGACAATCTCCAGATGCCCAGCTTTGGCATATGCGGACATGAGCAAAACCCAGCTGAAAACGTTGCCGCTGCTGCCCAGGCTCGCAAAGGTCTCTTGAGCATCGCTTGCGCTGCCGACCCTCCCATACATTTCAATGACCTTGTTGTAGAGGAAAACATCATCACTGGCTCCCACCACCCTCTTGATTTCCAAATGGATCTCCCTCGCAGCACCAAGAGTTTTGCAGTTGCGAAGGGTTTCAAGGCATCTCCCCCGATCGAGCATGAAATGATTCTTTCAAAGCAACACCTCCCTGGAACTTTTTTAAACTCGCAGCATCTTCTCGCATCTAGTTTAGGGTACACGTGTCTTCGTCTCCTCTTGCCACCTAAGCATGTTCGTCATGAGAACGTAGGCCGCGGCGTCGTCCCTGTCTATCTTCACGAGCGCTTCAAAGGCCACTCGTCCCACTCGCGCGTCCTTCCACTTGTGACACGCCCCAAGCAGCGTCCTCCACACCAGCGCGCTAGCTTCGCCAGGCAATCCTTCCACCATCGCCAGCGCTTCCTCTAGCTGGTTTGCTCGGCCCAGGAGATCCACCACGCAAACGTAGTGCTCCATCGCCGGCTTGATCCCATACCTGGCCTCCATCTCCGCCAGGAGCTTCCTGCCGCGACCGACGAGCCCGGCGTGGCTGAAAGCGCTGAGGACGCACGTAAGCGCGACGTCGTCTGGCCGGACGCCTTCGTCTTGCATCCCGCGGAAGAGCTCCAAAACTCTGGCGATGTCTCCGACCCTGCTGTATCCCGAGATGAGCGAGGTCCAGCCGATGGAGCCGGGCTTTCCAGCGCTGTCGAAGACGAGCTGAGCGTCTCTGGCGCTGCTGCATTTGCCGTAGACGTCGATCATGGAGTTTGAGACGGCGTCGTCGTCGTCGTCGGTGGCTCCTGCTCTCAAGATCTCGGAGTGGACTCTCCGGAGAGTTTCGAGAGAAGCTGAGCGTCCACAGCTCTTCAAAGCCGCGAGGAAGAGCCGAGAGTCGTGAGCGCAGTGGTAGCTTTGAGTTCTCATCAGCCTCTGGAACATCTCTACACCGAGCTCGTCCTCGTTGTTCTCAAAGTATCCCAGCGTCAGCTCGGTGCGCACCTCGTAGCTCGGGGACGGGATAGCATCGAAGAACTTGCGTGCGTCGCCCATGCTTCCACACCTGGAGTACATCTCCACGATCTTGCTGGCCACGAACTTGTCCAAGTCGAGACCACGCTGTGCGGCTTGCGAGTGGAGGTCATTTCCTCTCTTCAGCGCTTCCATCTTCCCACCCTTACCATCTTCTTTGGCAGCAAGAGTGATGCAAGCTTTCAATGCCGCCACGTAGCTCCGACAGTCCGGCTCAAAGCCTTCGTCTTTCATCCGAGTGAAAATGCTGAAAGCCGAGTCTGGATCATCCTTGTCGACGTAGCCGAGCATCAAAGCTGTCCATGACACCACGTCGTGTCGACGAATCTTGTCGAAAACTCGTCTCGCATTTTCCAGGCTTCCGCATTTTGCGTATAGAGCGATAAGAGTACTTGCGAGAAAAACGTCCCCACCATCAAAGCAGCCCAGTTCTTCAGCCTCGGACTCCAGCTCCAAGCCTTTTCTCAGAGCCTCAACTTTCAAAATGCTCCCATCCTGCGTCTGGGTGCCTGCTTCCTTCTCTGCCAGTCCGGAGCAAGCAGTAAGAACAGCGACAAAAGTCCGAGCGTCTGGAGTGTACCTCTTGGCCTTCATTGACGTGAAAAGCTCCAAAGCCAGCTCTTCGCCACCATTTTCAGCGTAGCCCAGAAGCAAAGCCGTCCAGGAAACGACATCGTGACGAACCATTCCGTCGAAAACTCTTTGAGCACAAGTCAAGCTCCTGCACTTCGCGTACATGTCGACTAGCGTACTGGCCAGAAACAAGTCCGAATCCCAGCTACGGTTTGCTGCTTGAGAGTGTAAAATACTCCCCCTTTCCAAGGCCTCAACTTTGACAAGCTTTCCGTCGATTCTCCGGCCTTCTTCCTTCGCTGCCATGCTTCCACAGGCCTTGAGAGCAGCGACGAAAGCTCTGGTGTCGAGTACAAAGCTCTTCTGTGACAGCGTCCGGGAAAAGATCTTCAAGGCCACCTCGGGCTGTCCGTTCTCTACGAGTCCGAGCATGAGAGCTGTAAGCGAGACGACGCTGCGGTTTGGAGTTCTTTCGAACACGTCGATGGCATCCTCAAGGCTCCCACATTTCGCATACAAGTCCACCAACGCTCCAGCGACAACCCTGTGTAACTCACAGCCATTTCTCGCCGCTCGAGCATGCAGAGCTCTTCCGGTTTCCAAGGCCTTCGGCTTCACCACCTTCCCGTCCACTGCCCGGCCCTGCTCATTGCTCGCCAGACTCGTGCACGCGTTCAGAGCAGCCACGAAAGTTGGAGCATCCGGTTCCAATCCTCCCATGTACGAGAACAAATCCAGAGCGATCTCTGGTCGTCCATTCTCGCAGTAGCCGAGCACGAGTGAGGTCCAAGCAACCACGCTATGCGCTTTCATCCTGTCGAAAACCCTGCGCGAGTCCTCCAAACTCCCACACTTGGCGTACAAATCCACCAAGTTGCTGCCCACGAAGACGTCGGAGCGATCCAAGCCGAGCTTGGCAGCCTGGGAATGTAAAGACATACACTCGTTCAGGCATTTCATCCTCACGAATTTTCCATGAACTTTGAGCTGACCTTGTTCTTCCTTGGTAGCCAGATTGGAGCAGGCCTTCAGTGCCGCCAAGAAAGTGGGACGATCCGGCTCACATCTGGCCGGAGCCACCATCATCTCTCCAAAAACGTGCAACGCAGCCTCGCCCTGGCCGTTTTCGGCATAGCCGGAGATGAGAGAGGTCCACGACACGACGTCCCGATGCTTCATACCGTCGAATGCTGCTCGCGCGAGCTCCATGCTGCCGCATTTGGAATACATGCCTACCAGGGCGCTGCCGACGAAGGCATCGGCGTCGTCCCCATTCTCGACCGCCTGCTTGTGGATTCGCTGGCCGCTCTTGAGATCCCTGGACTGCGCGCACGCCCTGAGCGACGCGAGAAGCGCCGTGATCCGCTCCCTTTGCTGCGGCGATCGGACGAGGACATCCGCATTCTTGCCGCGCATGAAGTACCATTGCAAGGTCGAAGAACCCTAAATCCTAGTACTCACGTCAGTTTCGTCAAAAGCAGATTTTCTTTGACCGGCGACTTTGACCTTGAGCCTCCCCTTCAAGTCTTTGGAAGGATGGCTTTCGCTCATGTTGCCGCTCCAGCTGGAACAGCACAAGTCTTTCTACTTTGGGTTTGCTCCTCGGTAGCAATGTCGGAGCATTTATGCAATCTGGCTATGTTTGATGTCATGCTGGAGTGGATGGATTGTTGTCAATCTTTCTCAATATCCCCTCAGGATTAATAGCAGTCCTTGTAAGTTCAATCACTAAACAGGCCCTGTTAAAATTGATGTAATTAACTTTCCATTCCAATCAAGCACCACAAGCAGCTCATGAATTTTAGTGGATTGTGGCATAACTGCTAAGTGACCATGATAGAACAGCAATATTGGCTTGCCAGACTAGTTGAGATATCCTTTATTCAGTCCACCACATGAGTAGAGAGATAAAAATTTAGCTTTTTAAAGATTTTGTCTTCCAACCCTTCTATGGAGTAATTGGTAATATGAATTCATAACTTCAAAGTATAGCTAAACTCAATAGCTAAAGTTTTAAAAAAGTTATTCTAATTAAAAGCTTGAAAATAATATTGTCAAAAAATATTTAAAAATAAAACTTATATATATTACTGCATGGAATATAGAAATGGAATACATAAATATACATATCAATTAGCCAAAAAACATGCACAGATTGAAACCAATCTGATAGCTTTTAAAATCCTAGTATACTAATATTAGTATATGGCATCACATAATCCTTTCCTTTTGGAAATATTAGGAGGAGATATCAGTGGATTTTTAAGTGGTGTTAGTTGTTTTTAATTTCTTTATAGAAGGTGTTTTAGTTATTGAATATGCATAATTTTTGGAGGATTGGTTTGTTGAATATCATGTTAAACTTTATAAACTTGCAATCCAATTTACTACAACACTTTATATAGTCCTTCCTATTAAGTAAGAAGATTATTAAATAAACCTCATATCGTAATATTGTAGAAAAAAACTAATATTAAGTCATCTACTTAATGGAAGAATGCTTATTAAATATTAATCCTAATATCTAGCATCAGCAGCTCATGATAATCATGAAGGTAAACTCAACTTTATAAGTAGTATTGGATCATGACTATATAGAAATTTATATGGTGAAACACCAATAGAACTTTATACCTTTATGACATATGTATATTGAAAAGAAGTCCTTTGAAAGTCTAAATGAACTATTCTATCAAACCATTTGATTATCAGTGATAAACATTTGTGAGAGTGTGGCATATCCCCAGCTAAAACATTAAAATATAAAATGCCTTAGCTAAAAATGCGAGACCATTATCTAAAAGAATCTACTCTAGATAGAAATCTTAGAACACCACTCAATTAAAGAGGAAGTACATAACAATAGTTATAAATGCACTATCAAGAATATTGACTTCCATCTAGCAAGTCAAGTAGTCAAAGGTAATAATGATATACTTATTACCAATAATTAACTATGAAAATAGCCTTATTAAATTAAAAGCAACAAACTTAAATGGATGGCAAATTACAATAAATTTAAATTATCCTTTTGCAGCATGAAAGGGAGTATTATGAGTTTATTATCAAACATAACTATACATATACCAAATAAAACCACATTGCATCACTAGCTAATAAAAAGACATGTGTAATTTTTTAATTATATATTGAGGTTTCATATACTTATGTAGAATAGGAGAGTGATGATAAGCATAGAGAAAGTGTAGAATAAATATTGAATAAATAAATAAAACACTAACTGTAAATGATTATTAGGATCAATCCTTATAAAATAAAGGCCGTTCTTAAGGAGGTATTGAAAATGTAAATGCCAAAATGGCAAGTTATCAAGAAGTGATACAAGATTTTTAAACCCTTCATAAAGTTTTTATATCTATAGCTCAACTTTTTAAGTCTAGGTTTCACATCATCCCTAGAGTGCAGCAGTAACACATTATAAATCTCACCAAAAAAAGTTAAATCTTGCTTTACACTTTATGAACATTGAAAATCATGTATAGTAATTGTTGATGACACAAAATTCTCATCTAAAAAATAAGCTCATTAAGAATAAAATCCTTATATAAAAAATCCATTAATGTTGGAATAACAAACTCGTTAAGAACAGAAAAAAAGAGTGAAGAAGGGAAAGACTTCTTGAGAGGTCATTCAACTTAGTGTTATTTAAACTAAAGGACGATTAAAAAAAGTGGTGCATTTTTATTTATGGGCATTTTCCCTCTATATTTAAATTTTATGGATCATTTTTCAAGTTGTTTATAATTGTCACCTCATTTATTAAATAATACTCGATACAAAAGAAAATACTTCCATTAGTGTAAAATCTTAATCTTCTTTGGTGATTAATGCCAAATATGAATATTGATTGGACGAGTATCATTAGTTGAAATAAAATGACATATTATAATCTTAGCCTCAGACGATAAGTCAAAGTTAAAGAGGTTGACATAATCCTTCTTTAGTCAGTCAACTACTATGACACGAAGACCATCAAGAAGGATCTAGAATAAAGGAGCAAGATGGAAATATAGTAGGAAATAATTGGGAAAAAAAATTGATGGAAATAGTGGTAAAAATAAAAAAATGAAATGGAATAAAAATGAGAGGAATAAAACAAATATAAAGAAGTATAAGATAAGAGAGTTAAACCTCAAAATCACATAGCTGCACTACAATCAATCCATATCAAAGATGAGGTTAAAGGCTTGATTTAGCACTATTTGCAACAATTATTCAAACTCAAGATCACCTACACACAGAATTATGTTTAGTTTATACTAAGGGCATATATATGTACAACCATTGCTATAAAGAATGAAGATTGACTTTGCCGTGATGCAATTGTAAACTGTAGCATGTGGCAACAGGTCAAGCAATACAAAATAAACTCAATACTATATCAACAAACAAAAAGAGAATAATAAAACATCTCTTATCATAAATAAGATTGAAAAGTAAATACTAGATGAACTATGTAAATTTAAACATCCAAAGAGAACAACTTAAAAAACAATCCATAAAGTTCAAATATAGGGAGAAAGAGCATATGAATAAAAGTGCATTCTATTTTCCAATTGGTTAAAGGTTTTGGGATATTTGGGATTAAACATCCTTGGGTTTAAAAATATTGGATTAAGTGACCGCCTAGAAAGTTTAAATTTATGAGTTTACATTTGGTATCAATGAGGTCTCGAGTTCAATTTTATTTATTAGCTAGAAGAATCACACTATATATTAAAATTAATATTTTACAAGTATAGTTTGCCTTCAGTTGAGCTTAATTTGAAGGGTAGGGTGTGAAGAGAGTGGGGCCCTTAGGAGAGCTATGGCTTTCAACTTCTCTTTATGAGAGTGTGAATTTGCAAAGAAGCATAATGGATTATAAACAATCAAACAAAATAATTTAAAAGACAATCTATGGGGTTTAAATATAAAGGGCAAGGGCCCATGAACAAAAGTGCACCCCTTTTTTCAATCTATTAAAGGTTTTGGGATATTTAAATGTCATTGGTTTAAATAGTATTAAATTTGGTGACCTTCATAAAAGTCTAAATTCAAAAGCTTATATGAACCCTTTGATGGTACTCTCAAAAGAAGTAAAAAGGTTATTAACTTATTTATGTAAGGACCCTCAGTTATTTATGTGACTTCTTATTTCCAAAACAAATCTCTATGTCAAAACCTTCCCCTATAGCAATACTAATAGAATGTTGTTGATGCTAATACCTCCGCCTAAGAAAATAAAGCATGTCAATCTAGAAACTGTTGATAACACCAATATATGTGGCCAATCTCATCACATGCTTAACAGCAAATATTATAGCTATATCCACATTCTCTCTTTAAAAAGATGTTAAAAAAGGGTGTTATTTGAATGTCTCGAAGTTTTTGGGTATATAAACTTTATGTTGTGACAAAGCAATCACGAACAAACAGTAAGTAACTCGAAAGTGCTTTTCCATTACGACAAACCTGCTTCATGCATGCTTGAAGACATCTAAGGGAATGCTCCAATTTACAAGAGTGGGTGTATACAAACCATTGTACCATTGCAATGATATCCCTTAGAGACACATGGGAAATTTATATAGACAATGAGCATCACAAAGGACATCATGGGAAAGTCATACAAATGCTAAGTATCATCATAAGAATGAAAAGTGGCAATCACTATGAAGTGATTAAACTAATAGTACATATCATCCCCAAGATTCCTATGCAAAAACTTTGGCTTAATGTGAGGATTGCCAATAAGAACAAGAAGAGCTATACCATATGCTATGAATGCCACTATTGTAAACTCCTAAATTTAGACTTCTTAAGAAATTACTTAACTTAATATTATTCAAACCCAAAGACACTTAACTCCAAGTATCTCAAAATCCATAACCGATTGAAAAAAAGGATGCACTTTTGTTCATAACCCTTTTCTCTCTATATTTGAACTTTATGGATTGCCTCTCAAGTTATTCCCTTTACTTGATTATATCATCGATTGAGTATAACTAGTTAGTTGCAATTACATAGCATCAAGCAACTACACTAACTATTGCTCTAGAGTCAAAAGAAAAGGCTTCTACTCTACCATGAAGATAAACAAAAATAAGAGAAATAAAAGCAAAGAAAAGTAAAAGCTATGACATCTAGACAATGCAAAACTTAAATCTAAACTAGCAACTCAAATCCAAGCACTCCTTAATAACAATCAAAGTTGCCCCTCACCTCCACTAATATGAGTGTATGGAATATAAAAATGAAATATATAAATATATATATTAATTAGCCCAAAAGCCCTAGTGTATATACAAGAGTGAGTGGTTTGGATTTAAATGAATTTGATGTCTATTAAAATCTAATTACACTGATTTATCATAACCTATAACTTTTTAATAAATATTATATATGGTAGTAAA